AATCAACGAGCCATTACGAAAACGGTCGGCCTCCTCTCCGCCCCAATGCCAACAACAAAACGCCTCTCTAGAGCTGGCGAAATGCTCCTGAATCGAACAAATTTCGAGTTATCGTGCATGTGAAACGCAAAGATAAATGTATGGTGCGTATACGTTCACGTAAGGGCACGAGCAAGAGGCAAACGAATGCACGCACTCGCTCGAGGGACTAAATTGATCGAACCCGTTTTGTTTGTGGTCACTCTTAAAACTCGAGTGACAAAGAATCATGCTCCCCTAGCGTCGATATGTTCGTTTCGAGCGTTTTTCTTTTTGCCCGCTGCGCTCGCTGTTTCCCCTTTGTTAACTTGTACGCTCTTTCTCGCATTTCGAAAACGTGAGACCATTGTTTCCCCTCTTCTTCTACCTCTCGTCCTACCAACCGAGTCGTGTTCTCTTCCGTAAAATTTTCAACACACACACACACACACACACTCCTGTTCTTCCTCTTCCACCTTTCCTTTTTTTCTTCTTCTCTTGCATCCTTTATGGCGAACCATATGGCGAATATAACAATTGTTTGCCAAATAAAATCAAAAATGGCAACATCCCATTGGTAAAGCTAATAATTGTTTAATTATGCTCCTCTTCGGAATATGACATATTACTCATTCAGAAAATATAGTTGCAATGCTTATCTTATCGTACGTGATTGACAAACCACATTTACTTCATTTTAATGAACACTGCATTACTTACTGTGTACGAGACACGAGCATCTCTTCTAAAATATAGTACCTTCGAAATCGGTGGAAGAAGTTTACACGATGAGCATGTGAACAACAAATCTGTCAAAAAAGTGTGTTGATATTCGATCTCATTATTCGATTGTTCATTCGATCGTCGAGACAGACTGAAGATTTTTATTGGTGTATCTCGTAAAGAACAAAGAATGAGCAACAACGATTTATGGATACGCGATTTGATTACAAGTTACGGATTGTTATCGTCTGTCTTTATTGTCGTCGTGATTTCAATATCACGAAAATGGTCGAACTTGAAGAAGCGCATTTACAAAGCTTACTTAACCGGATTCGAAATGGAGTGTGCCGAACTCATGATACCTTACAAGAAACTTCTGTTCAAATCGTTGCAACACGTTGTTTCTCGTGACAAAGTATTACGATCTATGGGCTGCATACGTCTCCTCGAGATCGGTATTAAAACGGGTGTGCATTCTACGTATGTATGTACATTATGTTAATAGTGTCGCGAATGTAACGTATCTGAAATACATATTTATTTTGTCTTTTATATGTAACATTTAAAAGAAAAAAAAAATGATCTGTGTGTGTGTGTTGTGTGCTGTGTGCGTGTGAGTGTGAATGCTTTGTGTGTGAGTGTGAGTCTCTCTCTCTCTCT